AATAAACTAAAATAGATCTAATAACATTAACAATAACACGTACATGAACATAAAAAACTGAACAAAACAACAATAACAACAACAACAACAACAACAACAACAACAACAACAACAACAACAACAACAACAACAACTGAGCAAAAGGAAAAGTAAACAAGCCACCTCCCTATCCCATGTAAACCCCTACCCTTAAACCCAACACCATTTTTTTACTTTTAAATTTCATTATTTTCACCTCCCCTTTTCCCTTTCGACCCCTGGCCCCACCCCCTCCCCCCTCCTTCATCCCCCTCTAGCCTGATAGCAGACCTCGAGAAGTTCGGCGAGAAGGCCCAGATGACCGCGCGTGACCCCCACGTCCGTTTCGTGACCCCCAACGTGGCTATGGACCTCTGGGACCTGGATGACCCCCAGCACGTAGTCATCGGCATGGGCGCCACTCACACGCCAAGTTGGTCAGAACCGCTCTCTGAACCGCGGATTCTAGAGATCAAGGTATCCCATGCCCCCATGTCTGCTATCCCTTTCCAATGTCTGTTATCCCTTTCCAATGTCTGTTATCCGTTTCGAATGTCTGCTATCCCTTTCCAATGTCTGTTATAGCCACAGAATTCTACATAATAGTATTCTTGTACAACTCACTACCTCAGAATTACAAAGTTCTACCCCTCTGACATTTTTGGTCGTTTTGAGTTACTGAGACCGTGTCACCAGAAACCAATTTTAATTATGTTCTCCCTGCTCTATCAAAGTCGTAAGACTGTTCGGAGTCGCTACCAAGACATTCAAAGAATTGCATTCGAAAAAGCTCGACATGTGAGTGTGTGTGTGAGTGTGTGTGTGAGTGTGTGTGTGTGTGTGTGTGTGTGTGTGTGTGTGTGTATGTGTGTGTGTGTGTGTGCATGCTTGTGCACGCGCACATGTGTGTGTGTGTGGGGGTGGGGGTGAGGGGGGTGACAGACAGATGAGATGATGGACTGGGAAAAATAATGAGCTTGAACGAAGAAGATAACTTATGAAATAGCTGGAATATCGCAACAGTGTTGAACTTTGGCTAGTTGTACCCAGGTTATCTCATCATTAAGATATGAAAGGTGGGAAGGACATTCTTACGTGTAATTATTTTAAGCTATTCTGTAATTAGACCAAAGTTGTACACCATTCCGACAGTATGACATTAACTGAAATTGCAACTGTCAAATTGAGGTCCCATTCTTAAATCAAGTTTAAAAACTTCTTTCACGCATCTCGTCTCACAGACCCACATTGGCCTCTATAGAGAGCTGAAACCCTGGAAGTTCGTATTAGGTCAAGTAAGTCACGAACGGGGGACTCAAATAGACTTTGACCTTCATACTTTACTTGAAGATCTGGGGTAAAATACTCAGGAACTTCAAGGTGTTTGTACGGGGACATAACTCAGGAAAATACGGCATAGCTAAGCGGCGTGTGTTACCTCCCATAGAAAAGTGCAAACGAATGCATTGTCTAACTATAACATCAAGGTGAACTAATATTGTTATGTACTTGTTGCTAATTTCAGTGTTCTTTTTCCCCTTCCCCTTTGTCTTTCACCCACCTCCCCTTCCCCCT